CACCAACCGACGCCAACTTCGAAGTGATGGTTTTCATTTCTCTCGACCAAGCCATCGCTTGGCCTCCGTTCCTCCTCTGAGGATATGGGTGGATATTTAGAGGGAAAGTGGCTCCCACTCAAAGAACAAGTTGACTAAGTTAAAGTGGAAAATCAACTGAAGAAAGGAAGACAGTAAAAGTGCTGATTGAATGGTCATTCGAAAGGAGCACGGTATGATCACTAGATTTGCACATTATCGTGTACAGCAGGGGACAGCGGATTTGACATGAAGGTAATTGACACTATCTGGGAGGAACAAACAAACTGCCTATGATCATAGTGCTCCTTAGGTTGGATCCTACCTTTGATTTTGTTAAATGTGTTTAATTGTGGCAATGCGCAACGCTGAAGGGTGTGCTTGGGGTAATCAGCAGTAAGCCGGTGTGTCGCACAGACACCTTGCTGCAAAGCGAAGGGGATATCTGAAGATGCAGCTTCTACAACTCGCGGGATTGAGTAAGGATCCTCGGAAAGCCCTCCTTAAGTCCGCCATTACAAGTTGAGCACATCACGGTTACCTCATTCCCAAATTTTTTAAGCTTTGCGATCAAGGTAAACGTCCATCTCCCCTGAAGCAGAAGCAATATATGGCGAATAATTATCAAACATAAGGTAAGAGGACGACCAGACTGCTATGTAGATGCTACTGAGTAAACTGACGCATAGCACTGCACGCCTCGGTGCGCTAATTGTACCTTTAAAACGGAAAGGTACTCTTATAGGACGGTGCTAACTCACCACCAAATCTTACTATCAATGGACATTGGTACATCATCATCATCATCATCATCATCATCATCATCATCATCATCATCATCATACACGTTAGCCAGAGGTGGGGAACACCTCAGCTACTGTGCCGCAATACGTAGAAAAAAGGAGAACAAAAATGCAACTGGTGCAAGCTGGCTGAGCTACCGGTAACGGATGGGCATCGTTCCGGTAAGCTACCATCCGGCTGCTGTGAACCAAAAAAAGTACTACGCAAAATTATATAAGGCTAAATAATGAGATCGTGGTTGGAGGGGGAGGCTAAGAGGGATGGGGTGGGACAAAGAAACTCACAGCACGAACGCCACTGAGGTCGGCTCCTAGCCATTTCAGCAAGTGTGTCCAACCAAACGTGTTCATCGTCTTTCGGACCCCAACCAGGGAGCCGAGATGCTCCAACCAAGGCCAGCTCAGAAGTGAGGGCCTTCATTCCTCTCGACCAAGTCATCGCTTGGCCACCCCTCCTCCTCTTCAATCCACACCCCCGGCGAGCAAACAACGCACGTCGCGGGAGTCGGTGGGCTGGCATGCGTAACACGTGGCCGAGCCATCGGAGCCTGATGCGTGAAATAACGGTGCTGAGCGGTTCAGTTCCTTTTCCTGTGCCATAAACAAGGCGTCGAACACGCTCGTTGCTCACGCGGTGTTCCCACCAGATGTGAGCTAAATTGCGAAGGCACCTTCAGGGCAAGAGTGATGTCGCGCCGGCGCCATAAGTGGCGAAGGTTAGCAAAAGCGCCCCGAGCCTTTGCTATACGATTCGTGATTTCATCTTCAATCCCACGGGCGCTGATACAACTTCCCAGGTAGTTGAATTTCTGAACGACTTCTAGCTGATCCCCACCAAGGGTCAGCGTAGTAGGCGGTCCAGACCAAACTTGGAGGAACGCTTTGCACTTCGAGGGTGCGAAGCAAAGCCCGAAGTGGCGGACAGCTAGTGCTAATCTATCCAGTGCCGCTTGAAACGTTTGTGAGCTGTCACAGATCAGGGCAATATCATCAGCATACTCCAAGTCAGGAAGTCGTTCTCCTGGGAGTAGCTCCACACCTTCTAAGTCGTGTCCTGTAAACGCGGTTTCCATGACTTCGTTAACAGCGAAGTTGAAGAGGAAAGGTGACAGCGGGCATCCTTGTCTCACGCCGCTGGAGATATTAAAGGGCGACGACAACTTGCCGTAAGCCCTCACTCTGCCAGAGCTACGAGCATATAATGCTCGGATAATATTCACATATTTCTCAGGTACACCTTTCCTGAGTAGACAGTCCCAAAGTGCAGGTCTATCCACCGAATCGAATGCACCTCTGATATCGAGGAACACGACTACGGTGGGCCGCCAATATATGTGACGGTGCTCCAACAACTGACGCAAGGTGAAGATGTGGTCAATGCAGCCACGACCTCGACGAAATCCAGCTTGCTCTTCGCGAATCTGGCTTTCACGAGTGCCAGTCAGTCTGTGAAGGATGACAGAGGCAAGCAATTTGGAGGCGATGGAGATTAGACTGATTCCTCTATGGCTGCCGCATTCCGATCGTGAGCGTCCTTTGAAAATTGGGACTATGATGGAGCGGCTCCAATCGGTTGGGACAGTTTCCTGCTCCCACAGTCTCACTAGTAACTCGTGTAAATCATCCACAAGAGCAGGTCCTCCGAATTTGAAGTGAGCTGGAGGAAGGTCAGCAGGTCCCGCGGCTTTATTCAACTTCAACAGTTTGATCTCATGTTCGACTTCTGAGCGAGAGGGTGGATCCAAAGGAACAGCCCACGGAGCAGGGCGATCACTGGTCGGCGAGAAACCTAACCATTCCGACCGATTAAATTGACTTTTAAAGTGCTCAGCCCAACGCTCTAAGCGTTTTGATAAATTGTGGATAAGCTGTCCACTCTCGTCACGTATAGTTTCACTAACATCAGGTCTCCTGCTGCCCGTTTCCCGTATAAGACGGAATAACTTACGATGGTTACCAATGGCAGCGGCCATTTCCATCTCTGTTGCACGACGAGACCACCAGAATTCGCGGTCTCTCTTCAGGCTAGCACGGTGTTTCGCCCGGAGCTCTTGTGCGAGTTTCATTGTGTTTGCTTCCAGCCGGAATATGCCGGCGAGCATCTATAAGTTCCAGGGACTGTGAAGAGACCCGATGTCCATGTTGGCGATTAGACATACCCCATGAGGATTAGCCTGCTGCTAGTATGGCCTGTTGCATATGAGACCAGTGAGCTTCAGTTGCATCCAGTGAGCGGACATTGGTACGCTTATCTAGATGATCGTAGCAGCTCTGGTGGCAGCACTGCTGACGAGAATAATGCGTGGATTTTCAAGGCCAAGACCATTGAGCCCAGAAGTTAAGGAACCGACAGCATTTGACTGGCAGGAAAACCGAAAGAATGATGGGGTAGTTTACCTGGTGTTCGGTAACAGATCCACCGGTGCTTCATTACAGTGCATATTAAACACAAATCGCCCTAAGTAGCGCGGTCATGTGTCCACAGGCCTACAAGCTGCTTGGCTCGGGGACACTATTTGGTAATCGTGCGCAAAATTTGGTAAAACGCCGACGTGGCCGGCGAACGATAAGGTGAAAGAACATGAACACGAGTTGTGTACCTGTGTCCTTTTCCTAGATTGAGTCTCTGGGATCCACCAATGGAGTAATTGGACAAATTATCGGATACCTTGAGGTCGAGAAGTAAGTGGCACACTTGTAGTATTTCCCTAATTTCTTATGCTTAACTAAACTGTCTGGCGACTTCATTTCATTTTTGTTTAGGTAGATCGCTAGTAGGAATCGTTTACGCACACAGCTAAGCTGCAACCTAGTAGTAACTATGTTGGAAGCCGGTTGGAGGGGGGGGGCAACTCAATGAGAGATCGCGCTGTGGCCAGAATCAATTAATGAAAGTGCGTGAACTTCAGAATCGACCAATGACAACTGAGGACGGGCTCAAGCAAGCATTAGCATGAGAGATAAATGGAAGTCGCTTGCTTGCTCAGTAATAAAACCAGAGCGGTTACTACCAGAAACATTGTAGCACTTTCTAATCGTATATAAGCTTGTTGGCGTGATTTTCGTATTTCGATGTAGCGAAGTTAGCTCAGTGGAGATCCGCAATATTAGCATTGCGTTACCTGTATTTGTCAACGGCAGCACGACAATTTTTAATCGACTTAAACTATCATGCTGGATGAGAATATATATATATATATATATATATATATATATATATATATATCTCAGCAGTAAGCCGGGACACAGTACCGACGTTTCGCTGCCGCACAACCACTGACAGTCGCGCGTGGGCTAAGAATACTGCGAGGGTCGCCCGGATCCCTACACAGGCTCGAACCCGCGTCCTGGGACTGCAAAGCAGGTTTGTTATGCATTAGGTCAAGGGGTTGGTATTACCATCACCATTCTGAGACGTAGGCGAAAGCAACTGGGTTCACTGCATTTCAGTGCACGGATCACAGTGGATGAATGAAAAAGTACCACTAATTAGGATCCAAACTATGAGTCAATAAAGGAAAATTTGGACAGATACATAGTAGGCGTAACGCGCTCTCAATACCGCGCTCCACGACTGGTTACATCCTTGATTCTGCCCTTTAGATAGACATAGTATACAAAGGTTCGGCCATGTAACGAACAGTGCAGAGACGATAGTTGTCCGTTGGAGCTAGGAAAGGCAAAAAGGGTATCAGTAGTACGTCGGCAAGCAGTACCGACGCCTCGCTGCAGCGCAGCCCGGTCAAAAGCGGGCTAAGGATACTGCGATGGTCGCACTGCCCTTACGCAGGCTAGAACCCGCATCGTCAGATTACAAGACAAGATGGCTACCTTTAAGTTACGGGCCGACTGTTGGAGCTAGGCGATGTTGTGGGAAAGCTTTTTGTCGGTAATCTTTAAGTCATGGGATATGCATCAGCTCAGGATTAATCCAAAACGAAGAGCGCAAATAAGCACAGGACCGAGTGTTAGATGCAGTGTTGGGAACGTACAACATTCGATATTTGCTTCCTACAGTTGTGGTCCCAGTGACGCGCCGAGCCAATCGCGGTCCTAATTCAGGTCGTGCGTTGCAGTTCATCTATACAACGGATAGTCACACAAACGAATAAAGAAAGCCCGGGTGACAAAAGGCATACGTGTTTAAAAGAAGGAAGACCAAATGCTGTATAGGTTTACCTTGGGGTTGGCAACGCGTCCGATAAAACGTTGCCCAAAGCGAAGTGAACTGAAGGATTCGTAACCACCACTTAGATCGATCCGAAGACGAACGATCGGCTCTGAAGGTGTCTTCCATGTCCTCCCTTGGAATGACGTCGAAGCATCTTCAAGCTCAGCTTCGTTTTTACACCGTTTTTCGACTGGTTCATCCAAATTTTCTTCCACAGAAGAATCTGCAGCAGCTTTAGTCAAACTGTCTTCGATAATTCGTGCACAAACTGATTCCACCTCCTCCGATTGGCCGAGTGCAGATGAGCCTCCCATCATTTCCTTTTCGAGGACAACGTCTTGAAAAATGAAGGGGCGCACGGTTCGTAGAGGGATCCGAGTAACCTAGGATGTGAGTGGTGCAGTGAAACAGAATCGCACTGATGCGTAAGATGATAACAGTTTCGTTTAAACAAGTATGATCTGAGCGACCGAACGCGGTTAAATGAGTTGCCAGAACTCGCATCACCACAATAATCAATACCAAGGGTTGGAAAATGAGACAGCCTTTATCATAGCATCAACAGCTACTGGAACTGATGCATCGATGTGGTATACACATCCAAGAACTAGGAAACGGAAGGGGGGACCTAGTGGAAAACCGTAATGCCATAAGCAAAGATTCAAAGTCAAGGCATCTTGTCAACAACATACCGTCATAAACAGCTGACTATCGTGCAAAGATAAGGTGACATCGACAAGACAGCTTTCGTAGGGCTTCCACTGCCCCGCGTCATAATCAGCCACTACGCTGTGGATAACTCAGCATCAAACATCCTTTAAACAGGCAGTGTGACTAGGATACAACTGGAAATGCTCGATAGTGAGACCGCTTCCCAAGGGTGGTGATCCGAGTAAAGTAGAGAACTATAGACCGGTCTGTCTGACTTCGATCTTATCCAAAGTTCTCGAGAAGGTTATGAAAAAGTGGCTGCTGTCGTTCTTCGAATCGATGGGCGTACTGACGCCAGCGCAACACGGTTTCACGAAAGGGCGATCCTGCACCACCAACTTGATGTAAGCAAACCCCCAGTGGGTACGAGCTCACAACGAAAGGATGGGTGTTTACGTGGTGTACACCGACGTTAGTAAGGCGTTTGACAGAGTGAACCACGAGGTACTCCTACGTAAACTGAGGACTTAGGGTATCGGTGGCACGCTACTTCAGTGGTTACAAGAGTTTATTGTGGGACCAAAGTTTAGAGTACGGGTCCATGACTACCTAACAAACTGGTTCCCATCGATCAGTGGCGTGCATCAAGGAACTGTACTTGGGTCAGTATTATTTTTTATTCATATCAACGATCTCCCGCGGCAGCTCCAGTCACCATGTGCCCTGTTTGCGGATGGTTTGGAAATCTGGAAGATCACTGAGAACCAGCGTACCATCTGATAACACAGTGGGAAACTGAAAAGCTGGAGAAAATACAGCACATCGCAACTAGAACGATACCCAGTCTACGGAAGCTTCTGTATGAAAAACGTTGTGAAAGACTCGGACTCTACACACCATCTTACCGCAGAGTAAGGATTGAGTATATTATGACCCATCGAGTACTACACTTGAATCACTTCCCCATACTGCGGTCAATATTTCATCTGGGGGAACCCTGTAACAAACGAGGGCACCGTCACAAACTCAGGGTCCCCTGCATGAACACAGTATCACATCAGGTTTGTATAGAACGAAGAATCGTAAACCTACGGAATACACTACCAGAAGGATTAATAGAGGCCGATTCTGTGAAATGTTTTAAAACACGTATCGACGATTATTTCGGAAAAGTGCTTTTGTGAAACGGCGCACATACAATGGAAAATATACATCATATACTCGGAAATAATGACACCAACATGAATTCCTATCCGAATAAGGATAAACGATTAATTGGCCAAACACTACCGCTGACGATTTGCAATCAAATGCTTTTGACTATTCATAAGTCGATAGAGTTGTACAGAAACCTTTCTACTTGCTCTTAAATACAATCTCAGTATCATTCGCGGATACCACAGAAGACGCGCCACTGGTGTCGACTGCGAGCAAGGTCCTGCAACGTCTTGAGCCAGGCGCAAGGCGGATCACGTGGACTCCAGAATGGAATGCGAGACGGATCAACAACGCCTAGTTTGGTCACCAACTGCTTTATTTCCAGCTGCTAAGTCATCTGTTGCCCACCTCGAGTCTTGTGCCATCCTGTTTGGCAGATGAAGCAGAGCTCTACTCGGCAAGCGACGACCGGGCATTTGTGGTACGTGCCCAAGCTAAAGAAAGAGGGTAAATCAAATCGCATTGAACTGTTAGCACCTAACTGAAGTAGACAGAGTGTAAGAGCACAAATGACTCCGCGATTGCGTCATACCAGACAAAGTCTCCAGTTCTATAAAGCAAATTGCCTTAGAAGCACTGGTCGGTGAGCTCAATACTACTCGAAAAAATCCCAATGTTTTTTTTCAGTAGGCTAATGTCTCGTACTTATACTTTTGATCGTCCAAAAGCACCAACTGCCTCCTCTTTGGGTGCGTCGTATAGACCTACACAAATGCAGCAGAAGCACCATGGATTAGTACAATAAGCAACCCTCAGAGTAGCGTAGTACCACTTGTCACATGAAATAGTCCATCCGAGCAGAAGTTGGGTCCACCCTTGACAACTCCTCCGTCCACTACCTCTAACACCTATTTTTTCCTGTCAACGGTGATCCCTCAGCTACCACCATGTCCACTTCCACTAAACCAGCCCATCAATTACTATGTTTGGCCCGGAGCCTCCACCTTGCAACGACCCCGTGGTCAGCTCACCCTCCCCTTGTCCTCCATATTTAGGGAGGTAGTAAACACAACACGCAATAAGCACAGCATCGACGTTATACTTCTAAATGCCCGCTCAGTCCTGAATAAAATTCAAACCCCTCGAACGATCAGCTCACTGTTCCCCTCGCACACTATATTGGTAACTGGAACATGAGTGAATGAAAAAAACGTCGTCCGCTGCCTTCTAGATCGTTGGATACAACAGATACGGCAGCTTCCGAGACGTTAATCATGGTGGCGGATGCCTTATATACATCAAAAATGACTTCTATGCTTGTCCACTTACAGACCCCTATCTGAGTAGTCAGAAAGACTCGGTCTTCGTTTCTGCTCGTAGAAAACAACTCGATATTTTTTTATCGGCTGCGCCTACAAGCGACCAAACTATGAGACAATCATTGTAAACAATTCAATAAATGTATTTCATTGCGCTTCTGAGCATCCTGCGGACTACAAACTCATAAATCGTTATTTCAACATGCCGAATATTCCTTGGGGCACACCTACCCCATCTACCCAGTACGATAGGTGTGCTACCTCTGTCCATTCCCATGGATGGATTCAGCACGTACAGCCGCCAACTCGAGAGGACCACATCATTGATCTCATCACGCAGGGTGTACCAGACGAGCCCAGTAATGTACTCCATTGATGGCCACTACAGGGACGATCTCCCGAGGTGACGGGTTGTAGCGTCCAAAGTAACAGATGAACCCACGCGAGGCAAGATGCCGACTGATTGACTAGTAATAAAAGTGCCTGACTCAAAAAACCGACTGATGGTACGGACTATGTGGCTTAATTTTCCACATACATACACTTAAAAAACGCTAAAGATGAGCACAACTGGTGATGGCAAACCTGTTTTAAAACCACACCAGCACACGGCCAGAACAGACAGAAGTGCGGGTGAAACTCTTTGAGGGACTAACCTGCATGGAAGCAGGTCTCCAGGAGACGAATCCACGGTTGGCCGTATTACTTTACTAGAACATTTAGATTTATCTGCATTTATTATTATTATCAACCAATCCATCTATTTGAAAGATGCAACCGATCAATCAGCCCCGCAAAATAGTTTGGGAACTGCACTGGAAAAAATAACTCGAAGAAATATTATCCGTCCCATGCGATCCCGTTGTATATACTCACCAGACCAATCAGTTGAATTGTGCCTCGCACCGTCGGGGGATATACCCACTATTTATTTACTTATTATTTATCAGAGATGTGGCCCATCAATAGCCCACCATCCTGATAACAGCTAGTCTAAGTATGTCTCTCAGCCCTTCCACACCCATCTGTCAGGCCACCGATGTAGCATCCCGTGCTTTCGCTCAGACAAGAACAATGATGGCGAAATGCAAGCCGAGACAGGCGACTGACGGGAGAATCTAACAAGTGTAAGGGGATCAAGTTAAACTGACACTTAGGTGGGACATTAGGGAGTCGGTTCTAAGCACCAACCGGAAAACTTTAGTATTGTTTACCCGGTGGCTCAACTACACTAAGACGATGTTACGCAAACCATCACGATTAGAAATAAATGATTTCTTAATGTTTTCAGTGAGCACGTTCGAAGCACAAACGATATTCAAGGGGGAAAACGACAAAGTCCGATTAGTTCTTTGGAAGGTTACAGAACGTACAATCAGTGAAGATGAACTAAGACAGCTCACAACTTTCACTCCGTAAGCTGTTTCTGTTGCTCTAAAATACGAAAAAGGTTGGAAGAACATAATGTGGATAGGTATTGAATGCATTTCTTGCTCCGAATACGGGCGCTGGTGTTCGTTTGTTCCATAACCAACCTGATCTGTTTGCAAATGTTCCGTTGCCAGAGCAAGTACCACTGTCAGTTCAACTTCTCTTAAAAAGCTGCGCACAGGCTAAACGACCCAGAGAATGAGCCGACAGCGACTAGTTGTTTGAATATAACCATGAAGCGTGGAGTTGTACCCAGGATAGTATGAGGCCTAAGGAGCGGCTGGCCAGTAGCGTTTCCAGAGATTGACCCCACTCGCAGCAAATCCGTCACACGTTGACCCAGTCAGACGGGTGGCACACATAAGACATAGAAGTTAAAGGCTGGTCAACTCCCTCTGTACAGATCTGTAGGACTGGATTCTAGTAAACAAATGTGGTGAGTCATTCTACTCCAGCTAGCTTCGATGCAGTGAAATAGTCGTGTTCAAAAACAAGCATATATCAGACTCAAGCTATTACAAAAGTAGCAGCTAAACTCGCTTGTTTCCACCTACTGTTAGTTATACGTATACAACAGTTGTTCATAACTGTATAGCTCAGAACAGACGAAAAGTACGCATCCGCCACCCTCTACCGTCCTAGAGAATTTTTTGGATGGCATTGAAGCATGCTTTCAGAACTTTTCCTCTGTTTGTCCATCTATGAGTACCTACAAATTTTGTGCCAGAGGTACGTGATTCGGGTCCGGCACTCATTTGTTCAGGGCACACAGTTGTACAACAAATGGCAATCAGTATAATTCTGTTGGAGATGCAAAAGGCGTTCGACCGCGTGCCGTACAAGCCACTGCTGTCCGTTCTAGAGTTATATGGCATTGGAAACCCTCTGCTAAGATGGTTCAACTCATACCTAAACGATCGAACCCAGATCGTCAAAATCGACCAGAAAGACTCCACGCCGAAACAAATAAGCAGCGGTGCTTTCCAGGGAAGTGTGCTCGGACCAGTACTTTTCCTGATTTACATAAACATCATTCGCAACCCTAGCAAACACGGACGCCCATTTCTGTTTGCAGATGACGTCAAACTGGTCTACTCATTTCGTGTAGACCAACTACAAATGTGCCTGGGAAGCATCTGTGAAGACTTATACGCACTAAATATAGCTAGTAAACGTTTTTAAATGAAGATCTCCGCTGTTAAATCCCAAGTACTTGGGTACAAATATCGCAATCTGGAAGGCTCTATCACACTTTCCGGAGACGTGATCTAACGTCTTAGTCAATTCGACACTCAGGAATTAGGTACTCGAACTCTTCCAATTTCTCTGAACACGTGCTTTGTTAGGCTGCGAAAGCGACGCAGCTATGCGGATATATCTCCAGAAGCTTCTCCCTGCCTGAAACACAACGTGAGTTATTCAAAATAATCGTACGACCGACTCTTGAATATTATACTATCTTCACAGTTAAGTGAGAAAGAAAGACAGAACAGCCCTGGGAAATGCCCAACGATCATTTACCAAACTGGTTATGGTGCGCTGCGCAAACCTGAGTTATTATGATCGCTGTCCACAACTCCAAATGGATCCACTTTGGTCGAGGCGATTAAAGAACAATATCACTCTCCTCCTCAACATTATTAACCAACGAATTTATGCAGACAGCACCACAGTTGAGCTGCGCAAGACTGAAATCTACCCCACACGAAATGACGGCTACTTGCTACCCATAAAGCTTGCAAGTCATAAAACCCGATCGAATTGCTTTTTAGTGAGATACTTCGAGCTGTGGAACAAACTATCCTACAGACACGCATGAGTACAAACCGCCACATGTTGAAATTCCCTAGACTTTTCTCACTATTTCAAGTGTGTTGAAGATCTTTGGTCTGCAAAAATCTCTAGAATTATTGACAGAAGCTGGTATGAACAACATTAGAACAGCTAGGTGTTTACAATCAGTCTACGTTCTCCATCACTTATAAGACAAAAATTGTGTCCGTGCAACTTATAATCCCCATTGTATTATTATCTATTCCTGAGTCTCACAAACTAGAAAACGGTGATACGAATATTGTTACATTCTACATACTCGGTTATCGCGTCTAGGATCCGAAAGAGAATTTACAGTCCAAAATTCTATCACTTGAAGTGGTTTTATTATTATGAATTTATGTTACATAAACCATGAAACCTATTCAGTGTACATACGGTCGCTCCCGCCTGTCGGTAAATATATGAATTTATTTAGTTATGTAGTAACCACCTCAGTGCCCCATGCTGAGGCTGATGTTGCATTCTTGATGCTTCTTCACCGCAGTTGGGCTAAACCAACTTACACTTAAACTAGGTCTTTTTAAGCTGGATACATTTCATTCCACTTTATTTGGTTTGTTCTGCCTACCTGAATAAGATTCTATTAACTACCCACGTTGCTTTCGCTAATTGCGGTTATCTCCGGTAATTTTGTTGCGTTTGGAGCATTTGTAAGTAACTTGTGGACATTTCTTACTTATCGCGGATTCGTTGCTAACCAATTTACTTCATATGGTAATTTAGGGAAGAGTTATGCCACCGTATTTGTACTCATTATTGGATTCATTTTATTTCATCTTGTCGTTCCAGGTGATTGGCTGTTGCTTGATATCCCCGGTGTGGCTGCTCTTGATGTGCATGTTGACAAGGTGCCTACCTGTTTATTACCCACTACCTCGTTTATACTGGCTCCAGGAGGCAGTTAGTCGTTGCTGGAGGGGACTGCGTGCACGGTCCTTGTGGCCGTGCTAGGCTCAAAGAGCGGTTCCATGCACTCAGTGTGGAGCGGACTACGGTCCAGCCACCGCCTTGTGTACACTTGATTCCCCAACTACAGCGTGCTTGTGTTTGCCTGTGAATGAGTGTGGGCCGGCTCCGTTGATGAAACGTGGTTCCCATCCACATGCCTTCCGGTCTTATTCCTTCGGGTTTACACTAGATATGGGGTGCGTGGTTGGAGCTGTGGATGGTGCAGCGCAAGCCATCCATGGTCTCTCTGTAGGCGCAGGCGTCCTGTGGCTGGCCACAGTGACAGGCAAATCCGAAACCGGATGCAGCCAACCACTAACCCCCTCAAAACGCCAACCGTTCCGTTTTCCGATCAGTGTCAGCTAGAAGCGGATCACGGAAAATCAAATATACTTCCTAAAAAAACAGGGACGCATAGACCAAAGGTTCCTCCCACACAGTCTGGTGAACACAATTTTCCAACATAACGGTAGTAATCCGTATAAATAACAACCAAATTAGTTAGTTTGAACATTCTTCCGAATAGCTGTCAGATAAAATGTCCTAATGAGACAATAAGTCGCACTGAGTAGTTAGTAATTGTAGCCGAGATTATCACAATTTTCCAAACACTTTAAAAAATGACAGACGTTCGAAGACACCTCTCTGATTCCCTACTTAAAATGATGCTGATAAAACTTCCAGAAAGTCATTAGGAAGTTCCATGCTTTAAAGTTCAGAGTAAGAAACTCTTTTAGTTATATTACATAGAGGACAATCGCGAATTGACAAAATCGGTTCGGATTAAAATATCGCGGACAGTCAGACCATTCAAGATGGGATGTGAACATACGAGGTGTAGTGTCATTAGTAAACAAATCCACCAACGTATTTGTAAACGATAAGGATGAGGAATTAGTCACAATTTGACAGATTGCACATAACTTAGTGGATATATGGATAGTAGTATGTGGGCAGTTGTTCGATCAAGCCGGAATACTGCGCTATAAAAATCACATCAGCAGATAGCTGAATCAATCGACAGTTAGCCAGTGCATATAAAGATGGCTTTATTGATCGCGTAGAACAAAAGATGCCGAAGAGTAACCGGTCTCGATAAATGGTGATTTAGTAGAAGCCAAGGGAACTCGGTGGCTAGTCCCCGAACACGCCCTATACTAACAAACAAAATTACAGTTACGACGTTCCAAAATCTAATGGGAGAGTAACTAACTAACTTCTGCATCGCTATGCTCGAATTCAGGATCTGATTCCTTTCTTGTGGACAAACGGTCGGTGCGTCGGACTGGCGCAGTGCATTCTGGAGCGTTGGATTAGTAAAACTTAATGGACCACACCATATACATGATGAGATTTATAATCTACAACATTGACTAACAAGTAAAATAAAAACTAGGTATGTATAAACATTTCGGATAAATGCAACACGGGTGAGTGGATAAATAACAAACAAAGTGGGGTTAATATACGTCCTTGACGACTTACCTTGAACTCCTTACCTCTTACTTCAAGGAGTGCAACCGCCTTGGGCTGCGCTTCGCCTTGTGATAGGGCAGTAACAACCGAACTTCCGGGTTGTACAACGAAGAAGTTTTGAGTGCTGTTCCATTCTGGCTCCACACGACACTCGTGCTCGTGACCCCAAATGACCAAATCGAGAAAATCAGGCAGAAACTGTTCAGGAAGATAGTTAGTGGGACCGTGATGAGCACGGTTTTGATGAACCGCACAAATAGAGAACCAATCATCCGCTCCTTCTGTGGGACGACAGAAGGTAACCATGTTGTTGGCAAACAGGCGATGAACCCGCTCTTCTCGCATCGCACCCAAGCCATACAGTGCCAAGCTTGTTGATCCCTTACGGAATAGCAGGGGACTGAGACAGATACGCTCAACTGAGGTGTTCTTCCCAATAAGATTCACCAGACCTGCGGCATGAAGTATGTCGATTGCAGAGACGCCACCGGGACCATTGGGATCATCGTGATTGCCATGGATAGCAAAAACTGGAATTCCTACATTGATGTTTTCATCCAAATAGTTGACGTTCTTGAATGCTGTGTTTGAAAATGAAGTCGCCATATCGCTAAGCATTTCGAACTCTACGGGCTTATCCCCAAGACAGTATTCACGGAGCAAACGTATAGTTTCATGAAGGGTCCTCATAGACGGCCGATTGTCGTGGAAAATGTCACCACCAAAAAAGAGGAAGTCCACTTTTTGAGTCTTTGCCAGAGAAAGGATTTCTTCAAAGGTTCTAAACGAATCAGGACCACGAATCCCATCCTTCTCAGCAAAACCCAAGTGGTTGTCTGTAGATAACAGTATTCTGAACGTATCGGATTCAGTTTCCTTTTGTGCCATTGTTGAATACAAGATATAGCATAATAGCCTGTAAAAGCATGCAATATATGTTCAATAGAGAGACAAAAAGGAAAATTCCTCAAATGAGTTTAAAGCACACGGACAGAGAGGGTACACAAAGCAAACAAGCAACGAGAAAAAGCAAAGGTTGACGGGAAAGTTGATCGACTGGAACAGTTCAGGTGTAGAGTGATAAAATGTATTAAACTGGTGAATAAGTGATAATGTATTTGGAGCACAAAAATAAAGTTATGAAGTTGAAAAAGATCCACTGGAGTGGGTGACAGGGAATCCATACAAACCAACGATAACATTGGAAAGCATCAAGTAAGTAACAAAGATCTCAAGCGATTGTAACGGTAAGCAGGATTATATATGACGTTTTAAGAGATAGAGATACCCGGTCTTCGAAGAGGGAAACATTCCTACATACTCTGAGTCCAAGCTTAATGTTCCGCTGGATCCGCAGAGAGAATGGACAGAACAATATAAAACAGAAAAAATCCGACGCTCATTTGCAACCTGACCAACAAAATTAAGTCCAGTTCTGATGAATAAGTATGATGAACTGAGGCGGATCAAGCCGTTAACAATATGACGGAAAGAAGCAACTCATATGAAAAAACCTAGGTCTAAGAGGTATTATCATCATCACTCTACATATTGGGTAGGGAGGAAAAACACTTCGGCTACTATGCTGTAATACAATTCAATTACGTGGGAATAAAAATACATAAGCAACGCAAAGATTATTATGCTTTAATATTATGCATTGACGTCGAGATCGTGGTTGGATAGGGGACGGAAAGTGGAAGCCAGAATACAAACGCCATTGACGTTAACAAATGCATCCCACCAAACGTGTTTATCGTCTTTCGGACCACACTAGGAGTTTGGGAGGCTCTGAGCAATGCCAACGTTAAAGTGAGAGCCCTCATTTCTTTTGACCAACTCATCTGCTGACCTCACTTCCTCTTCTTCCGTCAAGACCCCAGTCGCACAAACAACGCATGTTGCGGGAGTCGGTGTGCTGGCATGCGCAACACGTGGCTCAGCCATCGGAGTCAGGAGCGTGAAATAATGGTGCCGAGCGGTTCATCTCGTCTTCCAGAGCCATAAATAAGGCACCGGAAGGTGAATCAGAACAAGATACAAATTTGTCGAACAGAACATATGACTGTAAAAATCAAGGGGCCAAAAATGCGCAACTGACTCTGAGAATCAGTCGTGTCGGAACAAGTATTCAACCAGGGCAACAGCGAACCCTGAGGTCACAACCCAAAAAGACGGCGTGCATCAAGACGGTCGAGATATTCGGTATTACTTCGTGTTATTATGTCATGTCGAAGAATGGCGACCGTGCGACCCCACGCAATCAACCAGAGCAATGGCAAACAACGTGAGTCAAGTAAGTCTGTCGGTGGGCTTGGGAACGGCATAACCAGGCCAAAATGTGTCCCAGATCGTAAACGTTTGTTGACAAACATCAACATAACCTCAGCATTATTCATCGCGGTCCTAGTTGATAAGAGCGACGCTTCACAAGCATCGGCTTTTTCTGACGAATGGCCACGCAATCACGCTCTGAAGCGCGATGTGACCGGGCCTTAACATGGTGCGGTAGCTCGCATACTCTCTTCAGGTAAGTTGGACGGCACTTACCAAATGCCAGATCAATGGGAAATCGTCAGACAAAATCAGTCCCACTGTCAACCTTTTTGGAGGTTCTAAAGAAGCCAATGGTCCCCTTCCTATGAAATTTGGTCGTGTCATGCAATAATAAACTGGTTGTAAGTTGGTGTTGACTGGCTTACAGCACTGATGCAACAAGTTGACCCTGTCAGCAGGAAGACATTACCCTAGATGTGCTCTTAGACCTCCAGCCCAAAGCCAGATCACCCATAATCAAAAAGTACAGGCCCGGTAAAACGCATAGCAGCTCGCAGGTGTATACTCTACTACGGTCGAGAAATACACGAGTTATTTTGAATATTCCAAACCGGTCATAGCAGGCATCAGGGAGATTCCGGTGGGATAAAACAGGCATACTTTCGAGCTAGAAATGCAAACACTTGCCATGTGTGTCAGATTACCGAAACAAAGGTTCAGGGTACAGTCCCTCCAGGAAACAGTGGCTTAACACGCTACCCCGTGGGACAGTGTTCGGTGAAAGATGAATCTCCTCGAACAAAATCCCTGTGGAAATGAGATGCGTCAAAGTAGAGAACACAGTCACATAAACCGAAGGCAAACAAATGTGTATTGTCCGATGTTCGAAGTACTTTGACCCAGTAGATAGGTTTGCGATGCTAAACTGATCACCGAGGAGCAGTGTACCCAGTAAGTTTATTGAATTCATGCTAACATAATTGCCCTTATCTGTGATGACTCACAAATGCGTCAAGCAACAGTGCCTGTCAGCTGTTTGGGGCGTTGCTTTGAAATCTCTGAATGCATATCTTTCCTCCAAAATTGACAGGGTAAAAATTGGCATCATCAGTACGCAGGTACGCACGCTTCGCTGCAGCGTAACCACCACCGGTCGCACGTGGGCTAAGGATACTGCGAGGATCGTCCCGCCGCTACGTAGGCTCGAACCCGCGCCGCAAGATTACGAGACAAGCTCGTTACCTCTAGGCTACGTGCCGGCAGATTGATAAAGTCCACCTCTACATTAACTCTTATGGAATGAGCTAGTCGTTCAAAACTCAACTGTCTGGGCAGTTGTAACAGCACCTGTGGGAAGACGAAGTGACAAACCCCATAAAAAAGTCCGAGGTGCACTTGTTAATCTTCATCATTTCTGGCAGCGACCTCACTCTTACACTGAAGTGTAGAGTCTACAATACAACTGTAGGTTTAACGATTGTGCACGGTTGTGAAATCTACCCCATAAGATCGAGAGACGTAAATAGGCTAGTTACATTCGACCATCGGTGCCTTAGCGGCTTAACTTACAGCTGGTGGGAACGCTGAGTGAGCAACGAGCGTATTCGGCACCTATTTCATGGCGCAGGATGGGGAAGTGGACCGTTCAGCATTACCATACCACGCAACAGGTTTCGGTGGTGGGGTCACGTGTTATGCATGCTAGCACAGCCACTCGCGAGGCGTGCGTTGTCTGCGCGACTGAGGTCTAGATGGAAGAAAAGGGAAGAAGACAACCCGATGACTTTACAAAGAGAAACGAAGACTCTCACTTTGAAGTTGGCCTTGGTCCAACGGACTATAAACACGTTTGATGTGATTCATTTGTTGACATGGCCATGAGCCGACCTCCATGGCGTTTGTTATGAGTGTGCCTGCCCATTCCACTCCTGCCTAATCTCCTCCAACCGCGGTTTCAGTCTCGATGTATAATAGTCTGACGTGTTAGCATCTAACCAGTTAGTATTACTGCGAAATAGCTGATGTTTCCCGTCCTTAACTAATGTGCATAAGAGTGACGACCTAACAATTTTGTGGGAACTGCATTATCACACTTAGGGCAAGTTAAGAATGCAAGGCGTCGTTTTTCTTCATCTGCCATTACCAGCTGTATAAGCCAAGATTGAAACATCGCACAACTCATGTCCGCTGGGCATTTAGAGGTATCGGAACTGTGGAGTCCAGCATCTAACTGGAGGCATAGTCGCGGATGTGGACTGTACTGATGATTTCGCCCTCCTGGTGGACGATTCACAAATTGTCCAAAAAATTTTGAATGATTAAGCAATCAGAACACATAAATAACCTCATTAATTGGTCCAAATTACATGTATAGATTTCCTTTAGGATTGCTGAGTGCTTGTGCCTCAGCCTACTTCCGCAAGTGATAATTTGGAGCAAGTTGACAGCCTTAATTTTATAGGTAGTTACCTCATAGCTGGTGGTGGAGTTAGAATTAACCAACGAACTGCCGGAGCATACCTTGCATTCACTAAAATGAGACAAGTGAGGAGTCACTGCGACGTTAATCTCAGGTCGAGGGCGTAAATCCGCCAAATACCAACTACGGTTGGCAGCGGTCGTATGTGAAACGCTATAAATCTTTAAAGACTGCATGGGACAGGCCTCAAAGCAGATCCCAGTGGGACTTTGCAACTACACTCCTGACCTGCACTTTGCTCCCAAAGCTTTGAAGGTCAGGCTAAGCCAGTTTCCAAGTGAAGCCCATCAAGTGAACCTCCATGTGCTCTACCGGCTTGTGGATCAGACTGCTGAGTCAAAGATAGAACTAGGGCACCTCGAACAAAACCGCTATCTCGTAATGAACAGACCCCGGTGTCAACACTAACTATCCTTCCTGAGCTCAAGTGTTCGCCGAGCTTCGTAATTAGGATGCAAAGGTTTCATCATCAAACGAGGTGACTCTTTCAGTGCGACGACCTCTCAGTCTGCTGAGGAAAACAAAGAGAATCGTTCAATCCCATATAAAGCACATCTCCAAGATGACAGCAAGATTATTCAAACAGCAAGGTCTGACAGTGGGCCACAAACCAACTGCCCTATTGAGAACTCTGTCGAACCAAAAAGCTAGATCCAGAACACACGAAAGACGAAATGTTGTTCACAAGATACGGTGTCAAGATCGTGATAAAAACTATGTGGGTCAGATAGGAAGACGACTGTTAACAAGCATACAAGAGCATAAGAGAGCTTGTAAGAACCATTACACTCTCACTGATTTCAATACATACGGAGAAAGAAGGACATCGTTTCGATTGGAACAACACAGAGATCCCAGCAAAAGGAGAAACAAGAAAACGAAGAGAAGTCTTCGAAGCAGCATTGGATGAACATGCACATAGGGATTGATCCAGTGTACCAAAGGTTAAGACGGAGAGAACCGAAACACCTTAAAAAACCGTCGTGGTCAGCTAAACGAGCCATCAACAACACATCAATAACAGCCGGAGCAAAACCATCCCACGGATCGCCCGTGTCTATCAGAATTGGGCAGACCGGTGAAGGTCACGGGACACAGATCGAGGTCAGTTCAAAAGTCACTTGCTGATCGTTTGCAAATCGACGAACAAGTCAGCGGATT